CCCCGCGCGTGTCGCGCCTGGCCCGGGGGCTGCGGGAGCCGGGAAGCGGCGTCTCCGCCGCGCTTCGCATCGGCCGCTCCGGGGAACGCCGCTTCGCGCCGGGCGGGCTTCCCGGTCTTTTCCGTAGGTCGTTGTGCTCCGTGAGGAGCGCTCGGAGGGTTCACGAGGTGCGTGGAGGTATTGCTGGGTATGGGCTTTTCGCTGCCGAATACACTTCCTGCTCCCCGCCGGCCCTGCCATTAGCTCCGGCCATTAGTTTAATGCGTCTGTATGATTCTTAGTTAGGTACTAGTTAGGCACTATTAGTTTTTTTTGTTGTTGTTGTTTGTTTGTTTGTTTGTTTACATTTGTTTTTTTCTGCAACTGTACATGTTCACGTTTCACTTCTTTAACTATTAAACAAGTTGGACGCATTCAAGGTCTTCTGCTCCGTGATAACATAAGGCAGATTTTGAAGTAAATATTAGCATTTCAATAGTGGCTTTAACTCGAGCGTCCGTTTCCTTTCCTTGAAAAGCTATGATTTAGAAGGACTTGTTGTTCTGTCTCCTCCTGTGCTATCTTGCCTGTTGCTCAGTTAGAACAACATTGAATTTAATTTACAAACCGGCAGCTCTGTTTACAAGGGTGACATTGTTCTTATGACTGCTTCTTCTCAAAAAGGCAATTTAAATACAGGATTAGAATATATTTAAGGTAAGTATAAGATCACGTCTAGATAAGTGCTTGCTAGGATTGGGCTTTTCAGACTAAGCTACTAATATGGAGTGAAATACGCTGAGACATAAATAGTGGGAGCCATTCTCCTGTTATGGTTTGCACAGGAGGAAGACAGGAATAATTGCTTATATGAAAGAAATACATCTGTGTAATCTTAGGAGTCCCAAGGTAAACATTTAAGGTGTTCTCTCTGATTAGACTTTTTTTTTTTCCTCTCTCCTCTGCCAACCTTAATGAAAAGGTTAATTACTAAAGAATGGATTAAAACTACTGCCTCTAGGCAGTTTTAATTTTGTTATTTTGTGCATTAGTTTTTATTCATGAGACTTTGAGATATATTTGATAAAGTGATCTTTTTCCCTCTTAAGATCTACCCTGCTAATGGTGGCTATGGTCGATGCTACTTAGCTCTGTTTTATTTCTTAACCTATCTAGATGAAATAGTAAAAGTTTATGCATTTTGTTTTTATGTGTAGTTTTTTTTCTCTCCTTCCTAATAAAAATGAAATATTTTGGATTTTAAAGAATATATAGATTTCTCTTAGCATACTTTTTTTCCCTCCCTCCATGAGCGAAATTACCAGCATCAGGAACAGTCTTTGCAGAGCAGCACTGTTTTCTTAATTAGGACTGAACTGAGAAGCAGAAGTAGTGAAATAGTTGTGTTGTTGTGGTTTGTACATTTGAATCTGTATCTGAAGATGCTGCTGTAATGAGGGCAGAAATTTGTTTACATCAAGCTTGCTAAAAAGATGTTAGATGATAACAATGTTTTTCTAACATATGTTTTGAATAGACGAGTTAAAATCATTCACTTGTATTCATGGAACTGTGCTTCAAGGAATCTGTGATGGGTGTTGTTATTTTTCCCCGTAGTTTTAGTAAAAGAGTTCAGATAAAGCAAGCCAGTTTGATTAGAGTGATGTTAATGAAGTTCGCTCATTCTGCTTTCTTAATGTTCCACAAATTTTGTTTTAGACTTAACACAATTATGTGTCTTTTAAGATTGTTGTATTTTGTACTGCTGTTGCCAATGATGGGTAATGCTAAATGAAGATTTTCTTGTTACCTTTTTTTTTTAATCCCCTTCTTAATTCTTGTCTAGGTGGAGCATTAGGAGATCATATTTAAGTGCTTTTTGTGCATTAAAAACACTTTTATTTATTTTTAACACTAAATTTAATCCCTTCCATGAAGTATCTCACCTGTATACCTTTTGAGGAAAGATAATGACTGTTTTAATTGAGGTCAGATGATGACATCTCGTGGATAACTACTAGGTTGAAATGCTGATTCAGTTGTACTTTTAAACACTGATATCAGAATTACTCTATACACCCTGGGGACTCTCTCACATCCTGGTTTCGTTCCAGATCCGGAGGTTAAGAACACACTCATGTGAATACAATGAGTGACAAACCAGTTCCAGTATAATGAAAACATTGTTTGCCTTCAGTTGACGGTATCCTCCTGAGGGTGTTCAGTAGGTGTTGTGTACCAGATTTGTTCTGTTTAGGTAAAGAAAATAGCAATTTTTATTATAACTATTTTTTACTCTGTTGCTAGCTATGGTTTAAATGGAGAACAACGCCAGAATCAGAATCTTTAGACAAAAGAGAGTTACCATTGGATTAAGAGAAGCATTACCTTAAATCTGTTTTACAGTCTAATATGGGATGGCTGTGGTTATATTTGTCGGCATAGATTGTAACTTGCTGTCTGTGGCAAAGGCCCAATATGGGTTGAAATTGTTACTGCTGTACTGCCATGTGTGTGAATTTCACAGGGCGATTTTCAGTCTTCTGAAGTGACTGTGACAAACAACAAATATTTTATGAATGAAATCATATTTGTAGTTTATTATGTTGTTTCTAGTTATACATCACGTAAGCTGTTGTTTTAATTCTTTCTGACAAGTGAATTGAGGAGAAAGTGAGAAATTCTACAATCATAGTTCTATTGTGGGATAGAAAGCAATTTGTTAGTTTTGGCCCTAGCAGGCTGTTTTGGAGATGCAACTAGATTTCTTTCACATAAAATATAAATAAGTATTTCACATAAAACAGTCTGATCAGTCTTTAGGCTTCAGTTTTTATTACAAAGTGGAGAAAAAAATCACTCAGAACAGCCAGTGTAATTTTTCCTCTGGTGGAAATAGAAGAGTGGTTGAATTCTGGGTTACAGGCTCTTCTTCAAAAAGAGCCTACTGAGGCATAGTTTCTCTAGCATAGTTACAGCCTAGTTTCTCTAAGCTGTAATCATGAACATTCTGGGTAGACCTGAGAAAAGGGACTCCTATGGTCCTCACAGCTCCAAGAAAAGAAAGGAAAAATACTGAGCTTTTTTCTATGCAAAAGATAGTTTAAGACTTTTGCAAATCCGTGGTCCACCAGTAGAACTCGTCTTGACTTGCGAATTAAAATTAAACTTAATATGCAGGTGATCATGCCTGACGGAACAGATGAGCCATTGCAAGTTTTGGTGACTACTTGTGCTGATTATGGAAGTGAGGTTATTGTTTCTTTAGCTACCAGAAATATGGTAATTTTGTTTTTCCAATGACAGAAACTGAATAAATCTGATTCTTCTTGGAGGTGAGTAGTATACCCTTTCTGACACCTCCTTTAGGTTTGTAATGTTGGCTACCCATGATATATAAGAATCTCTGTTTCCACTGTTTCAGAGAAAACTGAAGGTCTAAAATGGAAGCACTCAACTGTAGTAGTCTTGGAAAAACACTACAAAGAGCAATAGTATTCAAGAATGCTCACGTTCATCACATGTCTTGTGAGGCTTGTTTACTACTATGCAAGTATGCCTGCTTTATGAGGCATTACATGCAGTATACATTCATACCCTATCATCTCACAAATTTAAAGTAAGGATAGTTGTGTTGTGATCTGTCTTCAACAGTTCCTGAGGCAGTATGCTGTGAAGCTTTTCCAAGGAGTTGGCAGTGTGTACAGCAATGAGAACTACGCTTGTATACAAGTTAGAGGACTAGTTTTGGAATCTGTTTACAATATTGCAAAGTATTATGCTTGTAAGTGAGATTTTTTCCCGTTGTCATTGGATTGCACAGGTGCTTCTGAAGCAGCATGCAGCTGTGAATGTTGGTAGTAGGCTTGATTTGTTCCTGATCATAAACTTAGATCTGACTGTTGAAGGTGGCATGTCAAGCTGTAAGAGCACTTTCATTTGCATAATCCAGTGGGAACTGGAGACCTGTGGATGGAATTGGGATGGGAAAGCAGTTTAAGCTGAGATGAAATGTCAGACACCTTAACAACAAGAAAGAAAGAAAAATGATTATCCTCACTGTGCTCTGTGGCCAGAATGGTTCTTGGCAGATTTTGTCATCGCACTTTCCTCTGAGAAAGTATTATCAACAAAGAGTTTTTCCTTTCCTACTCCTTAACAGGGAAAAACATCACTTTACCAGGGTAGCTGTATCTTTATCAAACTTCCTTAGGGTATATTAACTTTTTCTTATTATTTTTCTACCTTGAATTAGTAATGTGAGTTGTATTGTTTTGCCAAATATTTTATGAAATAATGTTTAGATGTGGGATGTTTCTTTTAAAGCAAAGAGTAAAAATAGACTTATCATTAAAATGGATAATATCAGTATGACCCCAATTTCTACTTGCAAGGCAGGAAAACCTTGTCTAATAATAGTCTCTGTCAAGGGTTCAGAAGCGCTGTTACCAGACAGTGTGGGGAGCAGATGAGAGTTGATAGCTAGATTTTTAGGGTTCTAAAGGTCACTAGTGCTCTGAAAGTCACTAGAAATGTCCTTTCTTTTTGCCTCCTGAAAGTCTTGACCTTTGTGCACCTCTCATACTGCTGATACAGCTTGCAGCAGCCCATTATTCATATTTTCTCTATGTCTGGGAAGCACTGTAGTGATCTATAGAGAATGTCATTACCATAGTATCCTGCAAATGTGACAGCATGTTTTAACGGTTCTCTATCAGATATATATTTGTCAATGAGGTGAGCAATTCTGTTATTTTTTTTAGAGGAGGAATTTCATCTCCACAAAACAAACTCCACAATTTGTGCTTGTTCTTTGCTTTGGTGGTGTGTTTTTTTTTTTTTTTGTGTGTGTGTGTTTGTGTGTGTTAAGTCTAGATAGGCTCTAGAGAGACCATTATTTCTTTAGGAACATGCTTATTTTAAAACAGTTAAGAAAATCAAATAAACTATTGTGCAGAAATTTGTTTATAGAACAAAATCTGTTTTGTTAAATGCTTCTGCTAAAATTGCTTATTTATTGGAGAGATAAAGTTTTTATATTCCATGAGTCTTTCTTTGTTCTTTTTATATGGAATTGTAACTGGAAACTGATATGTCTCTTTCTTCCGATTTCAGACTAGAAGATGAATAATCTTTCCTTTAGTGAACTATGTTGCCTGTTCTGTTGTCCACCATGCCCAGGGAAAATTGCTTCCAAACTCGCATTTTTGCCTCCAGACCCCACATACACACTGATGTGTGATGAGAGTGGTAGTCGCTGG